TTATTTTCTTTACCGTGGAATGGAACTGTGCAGATATACTTTGTCTATAAAATTATTTAGCATAAGTGAGCCCATAACTTTTGCAGTTCATTTCTATGGTTTATTATACTTTTTTATTGCCATTACGATCTACTTTAGTATCTATTTTTTTAGTTATTAATTTAGTCTCTCTCTCTCTCTGTCTCTCTCTCTGTCTGTATCTGTATTAGAAAACAGCATATTTCGTATATTTTAATTTAATTTTATAAATAAGTGCCATTTCAAAAAGTGTTATCTATGTGTACTTTCAATTTACCAAATTTCATTCAATTTTTCACTTTCATCTATCATCTGCCAGTTGGTAGTATTAATCACAGATGAGTATTACACTTGATACTTTCGAATTTTTATTATATACAAAACATAAATAATAACGGTAAATTTTACATGCTACAAAGCTAAGAACATATAAATTTCAAAATAATGATCTATAAACAATAAACAATGTGTTTTGTAACAATTTCATTTCCTAAATAAACGATATCGTTCACTAATATAGAATTAATTATTGTCGAATATTCGAATTCACTAATTTCATTTAATAAAAACAATAATCTTTGATAATAAACAAGTGCGGATAATTTATAATACATAATAGCATATTTTTAATCGCTCGTTTTAGAGAAAATAGAGGGAGATAAGATAATAAAGAATAAATTAATAAATATATATATAGATAATCATACAAAATATTCAATTTTTACATTTAAATATTAATTGAATTTAAGTAGTATTCATTAATTTCATTCATATTGATTAGAATTTTAAAGAAATATAGAATTATATATTTTGTTTAAATTCGTTAGAGTCAAGCATTTTGTAGAACAATATCATGCGAGTCTTTTTTTTTTTGTATAATAACTTAAAAAGTTAATTGTCTTAATGTCTGTTTATTATGTATGATTATAAATTATAATATAGTTTTATATAATACAGAATTTATAAGCATACTATCTATGACTATTAATCATTAAGCTAATGATTTGGGCCATATTGTTATTTATTTTCGCACCAAATTAATTAGAACTCTAATCCCCTACACATTGTTCACGTTGGATTATAATTGTTGAATGAATTTTTGTACAATGATATAGAATATTTTTAATAATCATATGTTTTTATTTTCTTATAAATATTCATTGTATTGTTTTATAAAATCATGAAATAATATATCGAATTGAAATATAAATTTCATAAATGTAATTGAGTATTTTTCACACTTAAGACACATTAAATTTACAACCATATTTTTTTATTTAATTCAATAAATCTCCTTTCTCATTTCATTCGCATTTATTCATTTATATATTCTTTCTTAATTAAGTCATAAGTGGAAAAATGTTTAATCACATTTTTTATTTTATAAGATGAGGTTATAAATTGTACAGTATATAAAAAAATATATTAATATAACTAGAAGGATTAAAAAAAAAATTAATTTCTTCTCTTAAAAAGGATTACTAAAAATAACATTTTGATACACAAAAACGTATAAATGGCGCATGGAGTAATTGTTCGACATTAAACTTCATTAAAAATATTGTAAAATAAGTTTGATCGAAGGAAGTCTTATGTTCAACTATGATAAATAAATTTAAATATTTTATAAATTTGTATATCACTACTAAATGTTTTAAAAATCGTCGCTAAATTATGGACTGCACTCGTGTGTTTTTGCTCTCGTCACTTTCTTTAAACGAACTCATTTAACAAAATATGTTACAATGATTACAGTCATTGTAATTAAACATCTCATCTTTATTCTTTCCCATACATTTTCCCATACAACAAATAACTGAAGAATCTGTAGTTTGGCTGCTTCATAATAATCTAAAATCATTTAATCGTTCAACCAACATCTAATGCAAAATTTAAATACAAAGATATTGAAATGGGCATATATCTTGGGCATACACTTGCCTCACTCACCATACACGTTCAGTTCATTTATTTTACATTAGCTTACATAAAAGAACCCGCGTGTAAAATATAAGCATGTATGGGACGCTTATCGCTGTGCCGGCCGTTTTACATTATGTGCCATCGTTGTAAATCGCACGAGGGCTTTATGCAAAATAACCCACGTGCACGGTCTGTAACTAGTGCCGAGGAATTACATTACTATCTACGGCGATACCAATTCTTTTTTGTTTTGCTTATCATTGCCTATTTTTCACGAACCTGTTTCGTTGAGAATCGTAGTTTTATTTGAAAGTGCAGCCGAATTATTTTATTTAAAAAAAATTAACTTATAATGTTAATATAAGCTTAATTATAAAGAGGTGTAGTTTTTAAAATTTTTAATCAATTTAAAATAATGTAATGCTATATTAATATTCAGAGGAAAGTATTTAAATGTGACCTCGCTTCTAACAAACACTTCGAGAATATAGTTGGAAAACGCTTTTGAATTCTATGTATCCTCAAAGTCCATCATAATACAAAATAAGTTCCTTCGTCAGACTTATGTAAAGCATGAAATGCATTTACTACAACTTTGAATGATAGTACGAAACAATTGCATCGACATAAATTGTTATTCGACATTCCTAGAATAACTCATCATTTTTGTTTAAAGTTATTAATGACACCAATTGTAATTTATAATCAATAAACTCGTCGCTTATAAAATAAAATATATTGCCATATGCAAATTTGTGCTTTGTTGCTTTGTACGTTAATGCATGCGCTTGAAAATATTCAGACAAGAGGATCGACTTTATAAGCTTTTATTTAAAAAATATTTTCAATCATATTTCTTCATTAATTTTAGTACTAATGTGTAAGGTGTTAGGTAATTTTTTAAAAAAATTTTATTCATTTAATACAAGTGAATGCAAATATCAACTGTACGTAATATTAGAAAATGAATTTACAAAGACTTTCGTTTTCGTTGAAATTAATGAGATCTTATTTCGGGAGCGTTCGAAAATGTATCATTACAAGTGTGTGTGGTGCAGAGATGTTTCGACGGACAATCCAGAAAGGAATACGCTGCTCTCAATGGAGGAAAATAGTTGCAGTGATACCATTGATGATGACGATGGGAATTCGTATTCAGTAAATCAGGTGGACACTATTGGTAAACATTACTTTCATTCAACGATTATTTATAACAACCTCTTATTTTTCAATACTTGCAGTGAATTGAATTTGTTTTCTTTTTTTTTTTTTTTTTTTTTTTTTTTTTTTTTTTTGATTAAGAGTTTGCAGAAAATTGTACGGAAATTGCAAGCTCTAATTAAATAAATGATTAATGTTGTAAAATTTCTGGATGACGTACATACGTGTACCCCCAGTGTTACGTATTACGTATATCAATTTTATAATATTATATACATGCATTTATTGATTCACATCTATCTAATTACCGTTCCCTATAAACTATTGATAAATATTTTTCTTACATTTACATGAGCATTGGTAACGTAAAGACTTATTAAATTGTTAGCAAATTCGTTATTAATAATTTAGTAAAATATTATTACAGCATCTTCTTACAGTATAAATAGCAGCGGTGTAGAATTTAGGTAAGAATACGTTTATATATTTCATATTAATCATTTATATTTACTAAAAAATACACCAAATATACAATTCAATTAAAAAATTAAATTGAAACATTCATTTATAAACTTTTTTTTATTAATTATTTAAAGAATTTTGTAATCTACAATTTACAAAGAATGGCTTAAAGATTTATAGCTAACTAATAAAAAGTTATTAAAGCATTGATCATGAGCGCCTAACGGATTTCAAATGTACATAAATGTAATATAAATGATTGAATAAAGGCATGCATGCTTATATGTACATTTCATATATACTGAATGAGAAGAAAAATAGTTGATAAGTAAATTTTCAAAAATACTGGAAAAATATCAGCATCCATAAAAATCATATTATAAATTGTAATTAAGAAATAAATTATAATGGTCGTTATGATTAATATATTATGAATGGTCGTTTAAAATTAGTTGACAATAATAATAACACCTACTACTTTTTTTTTATTTATATTAATTTATATTTTACACTGCTTATATCATATATTAATAAGAAAAATAGAAAAATAAAACAAATTGTCGGATAAAGAAATATTCATAATTATAAACATATGTATCAATAGTGATACATATTCATTTTTTATTTTATAATTCTAGTGCAACAGATAGTATTATAGAATCATCGGAGGAAATTGATCATATTAATGAGGATGTTACTGGAGTCGATCTTAAACTTCGTATTACACGTATAAATGAAGAGACGAGCACACTAAGAGACGAAGTTTTACGGTTAGAAGAAGCAAATGCATCTCTTGAAGATCATATGAAGTTAATTCAAAAGAAGTTGTACGTTTTTTTTTTTCAATACTTCTAGTATATTGTAAAATATTTATTATAACTTATTTATCTTTTAAAATTTACATAAATGCAATTAATCAGTTAAGATAATATAAAGTGTTAGAAAAAAAAAAATATATATATATATATATATATATTATAAATTTTTTTTTAATTACGCATATGAATGTGTGTTTAAAAAATGTAAATATTATAGTAACTATATGTATAATTATATATATATATATATATATATATATATATATATATATATATATATATATGTTATACATCAAATTTTAGGAAAATGATTATTTACTTTTTCATGTAATGATATAAATTTTTATAAAGTTATTTATTTTCATTTATCAGAGAACAAGTGACTGATAAATTTATAACATTACAAAAAGAATATGATGATCAAAAGGAAATACTAAATGAGTCCGATCAACGAGAACAATTATGCAGACAAAATTTGCGAAAATTAGAAAAAGCATATGATATTTTGCAAAAAAAAGTTGAAGAGTTAGAAAAAAATGTAAATTGTTTTTGATATACATACAATTTTTTATATGATAATAGTTTATAAAAATATAATTTATTTTACAGAAAGAAAATATTTGGAGTCTAAAAACTAAATTAGATGAGGTAAAGAAGGATAATATAGAATATAAAAAACAAATCACAAATGTTAAAGCGATGTATGATGAAAAAGTACTAGCATATGTGTGTCTTCAAGGACAGTTTAAAGAATTACAACATAATAATTGCCAGTTAGAGAAGTCATACGAAAAAAATTTTCAGGTATTTTATAATGTGAATTACATTATTGTAATTATAAGATTATAATTATTATATTATTTGTAGCATCAGCAAGAAAAAATTGAAGAACTGCAAAATTTTAATTTAGAATTACAATCGAAAATGAACAAAAGCGATAACTCCAGTCAGGTAACTAATTAGTTACCTTAATAAAATCATAATTAAAGATATATAAAATACATTTCTAAAAAATAAATGTAATAATTACAGTTTAATTTACAAATATATTGTAATAGTATTAATACGTAATTACGCATTTTGCATATAACGAATAGTTATAATTAATAATTGTATTAATTAAGAAAATTACGTATTATTAACGGGTAATATGCATATTTTAATGATAATAATACGTAAAATATTTATAAATATAAAATACGTTCAGTGGTAGTGGTTAAACTAAGTAAATTACAATTTTTAGATGAAACATAAAAAATTTACTTATCATTTTGTATATTGTGAATTTTAGCTTTCATTAACACCACCGCCATATAATTATCTCAGTGCTCATATTCACAGTACACCGTACAGTAGTAACAAGAAGATTCGAGTAAAAGATTCCCTCTATTCTGAATTAAAAGCTTCTGCAAGTGTCGATATAGATATTGTATAACCATAATTAAAACCATTTGTTATTAAAATATTGCATTTAACGTGTTTTAGGGTTTTAATTTGGACGATGCTCAAAATCAGGATGTGAAAGAAAAACTTATATTTTACAAGGAGGAAATAGCCAACATCATAAATGTTATAGATGAGTTAGTTACATGTTTCTTATACAAGCACGATAAAAAGTATTTGTGAATAATATGCGAATAATAATGTGATACGAGTTGATATATAACAGATAATATTGAAAAACGAATCATTATTACTATTTGACTATTATTATTTAACATAAAAAGCAAAAGTTTATTATGAACTGAACTAATAAAATATAATATTTCTAATTGCTATTAAGCTTGTTTGCTATTTGAAAAAAAAATACACAATTATATACGAATGAGACTGACATTTCATAAATTTTTTAAAATTCAATGTATTTCCACAAAAATTATAGGAAATAAATACACACACACACACACACAAACACAAAACTTGAAACGAATAAGATATTTAATCGCAGAAAACAATAACATTTATTTTGTTAAACATAATATAATTAATTAAGTATTTTAATTTATAATTACAGAAGTTACTTTGTTTTATTACAGAACATTAAAAGATATAGCTACTTCAAGAAATGAAATTTGCGTACCAAATTTACAGATTATGGAAATGGATATTATTGAGAATCTGAAATATAAAATCTCAACTTTAGTAAATTCGGTAAATTTTTGTTTTAATATCTTTTTAATATTGCTCTAATGAAATTTATTTTAAATATAATATTTGTATATATTAAAAAATTACATCTATTCAGCAAAATTTTAAATACAAGTAAACGTAACAAAACAAATTTCTTTTCGTAATAAGTGTCGCGGTTCGAGCGTATTGCATTCTTGACACGTGAACTATTTACTATTCTTTTTCTTGTTGATTGTATAGTGAGATGAGCGTTTATATAATAACTTATTGTACGTATACAACAATGACTGATCGCATTAATTTTATAAGCGATTCATACATTTAACCTTTGCTGTTTTATATATTTTTTGTAATTTTTGAGGCTTATATTTTTCAACGAATAAATAAATAAATTAATTAATTAATTAAATATTTTGAGATCTTATGTGTTTGTATTTAAGGAAATTTAAAAGAACTGATAATTACACGTTTAAATAAAATAAGTTTTTATTTTTGTTGTGCTATAAGTAATGTATTTTACACTTTAAGGCTATCGATATTCGTATAAAATTTTTCCTTTTTCCATAGGTAAAAACTTGCGCAACTGTGAAAGAATCTGTCTTGTCGAGTAGGGTAGATGATTCCCGAGAGAAGTCCGACGTACTAGCAGAGGCGAAGAAAACGAGTAGTCTAGTTAACGATCGAGCATTCACGTGAGTCACACTAAAGTTTTGCCTCCTTATTTTTCCTAACCAACTTAAAGATCGAAAGAACTAACGATGAGCAATCGGAAATATTTGGATCAAGGTTCGGAGAGAGTGTTCCGAGTGCTCCTTTTTCTCTGCTACATCTCTTTTCCCGTAAAAATAGCAGTATGACATGCCATCGCATGGATTCGGGCGATTATATGCGTTCACACCCACATGGCCTTCCGCGATATTCGTAAAAATAAAAATGTTTGACCTTTCGCCGTTTGATGCCGGAGCGACTTGCGACATTTTCATTTCTTAGGGAATGCAAGCAACAGTTCAGCTACTTTCATTTTTCTCCTTTGTTTACTAAAATATTAACTATCTTAGATTTATACAGTATTCAACGATTATTCTCTTATTTCTACTTACCCACGTGCTATCAATATATAAATGTATACATGTAGCAGTTGTATATTGGCTTTATTTAAGATAATCCTGAATTAGTTGCATATTTTAGCTTTTATACGTATTCATTTCTTCATTAAGCAAGTAAAAAATTTGCAAATGTATAATAAAATACATTTGTTCATAACATGAAATAATTTAGCCAGAACACTGCAAATTATTATTATCAGCAATTTAATAAATCTCAATTTATTAAATTCGTTTAATTTCATAGACTATACATAAATAAATTACGTTTCATTAGCAGCTTTCTTTTGGTCAAAATTTGGAATTTTTAAAAATATAATTTTTTTTATAATGGCTTAAATATTTTTTAATATTTTTTAATCATTTTCATCATTTTCATTGTGCTACAAAGTAATGTTTTTTTAAACTAAAAAAAAATTTTGTTTTTTGTATTAGTCAAATATATCTATTTTTTTTTTTTTTTTTTTTTTTTTTTTTTTTTTTTTTTTTTTTTTTTTTATATAATTATTTAAAGTTTCACGTACACTAAAAATTAATTATTGATTAATTATAATTTTATTTTTAATAATTCCAAATGAATTAAAAATTATATAAAAACTGAATGGTTTTTTCACTTGTTTTTTATTGTTGTCATCATCAAAAAGAATATAATTATCGCTTGTTAGGTGAAAATTAATTAATTTAAATAGGATTAAAAAATTAATGATTAAATAATTAATTACATAAATAATAATTATTTTCATCTTTATTATTCGTGATACGTGAAAAGTATTTTTTATGTTTTTATAAAAATACCAATACTCGATGAGCAATATTTGCATGAAACATTATGAATTAAACAATGTAATGATTTCTATATTTCTTTGTGCTTGAATGATTTACTTGAACTTTACCATCATACATCTTTCATTGAAATTTGTATAATATATTTTATATTAGAGAATGATTAAATATTTACATTCACATAATTATATTAATAATCAGTAATAATATATATATATATATATATATATATATATATATATAAAATATATTATTTCTATTAAAATAAAATTTATACTAGACTTTATTGTTCATCCAAGAATTATATAAGTTTTAGTGTAAAATATTTGAGTACAAAAGAGAAATTCTAAATTCTTAACATAGCATTATGCTTTCTTAGCTTTAAATATATACATGCAGTTACAGTTTTTAAATTCGTTATTAACATTACTTGGATTATATAATGCATAAAGAATAAAACATTATTGCGTAAGTATGGGTTCTACCATTATAGATGTGATACGAGAAAGATCAAAAAGAATTTTCTGATGTAGTAGGGTCCGACATATATATATATATATATATATACGTTTTATTTTCAAAACCTTGATCCAATTTTTGCAACTCTACCTTCAATAGGAATCGTATGAACTTGATTAATGTATTTTTACGTCAATTATTGTATCTGATAATATATTTTTATAAAATACAAAACCAAATTATTCTTTTGTATTTTTATGTACATTTCTTTCAAACGTGTATAATATAAATACGTTAGAAGCTCTAATATACTAGAACATATTTATTTAATATGTGTGTTATAGAAAAATACATAAAAATTGAGTCTATAAACATTTTTCTTTATTAATATTTAGAATAAACCTTGCGGTAAATATTAAAATATAACAGTTTTCAATATTATAATTTTCCGGTTTAAATTTAGATGAAGGTTTTAGTTTTTCGAAGATTCATAAAATAAAATTGTAATTTGCAAAGAAGATAAGTTGTCTTATATACTCATAACTTTTGGTTAAAGATTCACCTAATTTTTTTATCCGATATTATTAGACTTCTATTTTTAAAAAATTGAGATCTTAGTGAAGTGGCATGTATAGTATATTTTTGCATAAAGCGTAATTGAATGCATAATAGAAATCTAATTATCAAATAAGTGAAATGTATTTAAAAAAACCATTTTAATTATTTCGTAATATTGCATAGTTTTTTTTATAATTATTAATTATATTTTAGACTTTTACAATGATGTGTGTTTATGAAAAAAGAAAAAGGTATATCGATGGGTGTTTCATTCAAAATAACATAAGAAAGTGAATTGAATGGACATACAAAAAAGAGATCAAAACACTCGATAAAATAAGAATTAATAGTTATAAATAATAAAAATACAATAATAATGGCGATAAAAAATAGAATTCATTTGTACTATAAATTTCTAAACATGGTATGAAATATTATTCAGGAACCATAATGTTCAAACGACTACATTATATGCTTGTAAATAATATAGTACATTAGTTGTGACTATAGCAGAGCATTGTGAAAACTCGAATTATTTAAATTTAAATTTAAATTAAGTTCACTCAAGTCTACTTTTTGGATATCAGCAAAATGAAATTTCTAATACACTAATATATTTTGTACGAGCACAAAACCTTCTTATTGAAATAAATATCGCTTTTTTAACAATCATGAACCAGCAAGGGTATATACAGTTAATTTACAGGATACTGCTAGTGATAAGGCTACCTTTTTTAACTTCTTATCTCAAATTTAGGTCATCATTGAATATATCTGCTTAAAGATCCACCGATGTAAATTTAACGAGATTATTATATGACTATGGTAGCGAAGAATTATAAATTTTTTATATCAAATATTATAACTAGAGATATTATTTAAATACTATTTTGACGACATTGGACCTTGTTTTCTATAAGTCAATAATTACATTAAATAAAGTCTGGGCTTGGTTGGAAATTATGATGACATTCGTATATTCAAAGTGGTTTATTTTGATTTTTAATATTAATTATTGTTTTTCATTCGGTAAACCTATTTCATTATGAGTCCCAAGATAGTCAAGTAAACTAACAAAGATAAGGTTTATATATTTATTTTAAAAAGTCACAGTATTAATAAACCAAACCGTTACAAAAAATTAATTTATCAAACGGCTCCCTCTATCAATAGCTACAAATATTATCTTTACTAAATTTGTATATTAATTGTCAACAAAAATTCGTCACGAAAATTTGCATTAGAAGTTACAAGAAATATTCATTTCATTTAAATATTACATTTAAATATTTCTCAGTTTCATAATTTGCTAGGATTATCGATTGAAATTACTGCTAATCAATCGATTAATTATCAATTTTACGTATCACCTAATTGTTAAAATTGAAAATTATGACAATTTGTTGTACTCAATAGAGATCCCATTTCCATTTGTAAACGAAAATTTATGAAAACCATCGTCGTTATAATAAATTGGCCTTGACTATCGTCAATCGCGTCTTTTCAATTCCTTTAATTACGATCTGCCACGCGTTTATTATCGAGACAATAATTTCACCGAAGGGCAAGCGAGTAACGAGAAAATTAAAGGACCCGCAAGCTCGTGAAATTTCAATCCTTCAATGAGTGACGACAGGCCTGGAGGAGATGCGCTACGGAGTATCGCGTCCGCTCGTTTGAGCTCGTGCGCGCTGGCGTCCAAAGGTGCACCGCACATACCCTTAGGCCGAGAAGAGGCTTTCCGTACAATCTCAGTCTCCGATCGACGTTCGGGGCGAGAGGACCGAACGTTTCATGGAGCCTCGAGTCCGTTCGCCGAGTGCCCGCACAGAAATAGAAGCGACCGGCCACGGCGAGCATCGGATTTGGCCGAGTGACGACTCTTCGAGTTCGATCAGGGAATTGTCCTACGACACATATTTCACAGCTATCTTCGATCGATGTCGCAGTCCTGACTTTTTTTGAGATCGGCATCGATAGCAAGCTCTCGCCTTCAGTCGCACCGAGCGTTTGTGCTTTCGTGTTGAACCAAGGGGGAGCCGATGTAAATGTTGCTCGACAGCTTAACATTGAACATGCACACGTTTGTCTGTTTTTAATATTTTACTTTATAATAATTTCTCTTATGCAGCATAAATATCGTTGGTGGCACAATGGTCAATCGGTTATTTCGCATTCCCATTATTCCAATCTTTTTTTAATTAAAAAATTCATAAAATCCTTTTAAACGCTCTACGAATTACTAATGTTAGCATTAATAATTATCGAAATAATAATAATAATAATAATAATAATAATAACAACAACAATAATAATAACAATAATAATAACAATAATAACAACAACAACAACAACAATAATAATAATAATAATAATAATAATAATAATAATAATAATAATAATAATAATAATAATAATAATAATGTAATAATTATACTTTGTACTTAGTAAGTAGTTTTTTAATCGAAAGGTCCATTACCTCATAATATAGTGTTATAATAGAGTACATTTGTTTTCATTGCAATTTAAGAAGAACTTTACTTCCTAAGCTTTAGAGAAATTTATTTTCGTAGCTATCAAGAATAAAATTGTCAGATAAAAGTAATTTTTAAGAAGCTATGTTTGTATATTACTATACCTTGAGTTGGCTCGGTGTAACGCTAACTTTTATTTTGAAAAGAATACATTTGTGAGCAATCTTGCCTTAGAGACATTTTTTACGTGTAAGAAAAAAAAAATTAAATAAGCTTCGACTCATAAATTGTAAATGCTCGCGATTATATACCAACGTTTCATTGGTTTAAAATTAAACACAAAAGGTGTATTTAAAATTGAAGAATATTTGTATAAGTATCGTACAATTAATATTGCTAAATTTAAATTAACGTTATAAAAATATTGAAGAATAAAACACATAGGAATCTTAAGTTATTTTGGGTTTTAAACCGAGCATTTAATTATATAAAATATATAAAATAAAATAAATTATTACGATAAACGAATATATTTTTAAATAAAAATGATAAAGAGAATTTTTCACATTTGTCCATTTATTAAAATCGAATTAAATTAAATTATATAATTAATTATTTAGAGGGGAGGGGGGAATAATCTGTATTTGAAATATATTTAAATTAGATTTTTTTAAATGAACATTCATTATTTCGTATTATTTACATTATTTCTAAGAAATATTTATCAATATAAAAAAATTTTTTAAGAGAGTTTCCAATTTCATATATATATATATTTACATATATACGGATTTGTAAGAGTTGATTCTAAATTTTAATCTATATAATTTTACAAACCAACGATAAAAAAATATATACATTACTAATATGAAATTGTACAAATAATGACAAATGAATTATGAATTTATAATTGAAAAAATTATATTATTTTAAATTTTTAGTTTAATTTCAAATATATCAATGTGATCTTGATGATTGTTATAAATAAATTTAAATTCCTTAGCAATGTAATAATTATCAAAGTGTTAGTATAGTAAAAACATAAATATAAAAGATTTATAATTTTATATTAGAATATAGAATATATTACATAAATATAAATTAGTACCTATTATTTTCAAATATAATTGATAAGTATAAATAAGGAATGTTTTGTTCAAAATATCTACAAATTGATTTAATTCTAAGAAAAAATATATGTTCCAGTTGAAATTAATATTAAAATATTAAAATTTAAAAATAAAAAATTAATGTTTAATATTTAACTGGAACGAAAGCTTATACAAATTTATATTAAATATTAAAAAATTGATCCTTAGAAGTAATAATATATTTACGTACATTAAATGGGAGGAATTAAAAAAAATTTAATATAACGATAAATTTCTAATTTTATTTTTAATGATTACAATTTCTCACATTCAATTTGTTTAGTCAATTATAACAATCATACTAAAAATGTACTTTTCAACAATGAAAATATATTTCTATAATACCATTTTATGAAATGAGACAATAATTATTCAACTACTTTTGATGATATTAATTAAAAACTTTTTAAAATTAAATTGACAATTTTATAACAAAATTATAAGAAAATCGACCATAGTAATAAAAAAAACAACAATTATTAATTTAAAATATATAAGGCTATAAAATTATTAAGAATTTATTTGAAATCTGCAATGGACTGTCAGGTGATGCGATAATTAAACTTCACAACTTGGTGGTACTAATTAGTCTGAGCAACATCTGTTATATCTGCAAAAATGGTTTGCATCACCAAATTCGAAGGTCTCGGAAGACTTAAAATATTTTTCACATGTCAATATCTTTTAAAATGATAATCATAAAAAAATAGTATTGTAATTAAAACCTTTTATCGTTAATAGGAAAATATTAATGCTATTTTTTAAATTTATTTCAATTTATTATTTGTTTTTTTTTTCGAACAGTGATAGAAAAGTACCAAAATAGTGAACAAAGAAAGTGAAAGGATTGATGTTTCTTCATTTTTTCATCCTTTATTATAGTTACAAAAGAATCATAAGAAAAGTTGTTTCTAGTTATTAGTGCATTGAATTGCACATTAGATAAGATAAAAAAAAACTTACGATTTATTGTGATAAAAAAAATGTTTTAGAATATCATATTCAAAGGTCAAAAGCGTTCATTGGAAAAAAATTTAATGTGGAAAATTGTACTAAATAATTGGCTACAGTAAGGGCATGCAATGTATAATTTATTAGATTATGTGAAATCATATTTAAATAGGTAAATGTTCAAAAGATGACTAATAATAATAACAATCAGTCCATTATAAAGTCTATTAAAAAAGTCTATTACCTAAAGTAATATCGATACCAAAGATTTTTTATAATATTTAATGTTTGTCACATCAGTATGTTTAATTTAATTTGTTAAAAAAAATTTTTAATACAATGAATACAGAATCGCTAAAAAGTTAGGAGCGCATAAAATTGTTATTGTCTATGAATATTTAAATTATTGCAAAATTTTTATTAACGTGTATTTTAACTTACTGAGAGCAGTCTGAGTCCATAGTTATACGTATATAAAGTGCGATTGCTATTTAATATTCTCATTATTACTTTGCATTCTTGATCTAATTTTTTTGTATCATAAAGTAATATTAGAAATATAAATACCTCTGTATAGATTGAAGATGTTTCATGTTAACAAGCTAGCAAGAGTTGCGTAAGAATCTGGTTAGCGTCGAGCCCAGTATTGTACGAGTTCTAGATACACAATTACGTTTGTCAGTTTGATATTCACTTCGCTTCGATGCATTTCACGATGTAAAATTTTATTCGCCAATTTTTTCATTTTGTTGCTGTTTCTTCTAAGCATAATGCACTTTATTTTATTTGATTAAAAATAATTAAGCAAACATTGCTATTTCAATTATTTATGTTTTAATTTTAATATGTTTTAATACGAAAGTATATTTGCTTCGATACTGAGTGAAGGTCGAGTTATAAATTAGATTAGTTTTTATCAGTAATTGCAACAGTTTCTTTCGTTGCTACAAATGCAGTGTATAAAATATACAAAAAATAAATGACAAATCAGTTAAAATTCAATTCGGATATACGATAGATGTTCTAATTCAATGAACTTCGATTAATGAATTGAATTTCTCGACTCGTAAAAAGAAAAGAATTAACGAAAAAACTTGTTTCCAACATTAATTTAATTTTAAAATTAAATCAATAAAATCATGTCATTTAATATTCAATGGTATTTATAAAATATTGATTGCTGTTTACATTATCGAGTCTATCAAAATATTCGCGGAAGTATTTAACAATATGATTTATTCATCTTTATAATATATACATATATATATATATATATATAAATTATGTATAGTTTACAAGTATTACTTGCTGTGATATAATATAATGTAACTGATAGTGAGTAATGATATGACAATGTGGATTAATTTTACATTTTCAAGTGTCCAAAAGACCTAACAATTTCTTATTAAAAGACAATTTTGTAGGCAAATTAAATTAATCAATAATAAAATAGTGTATATGTGAATAATATTTATAACACGATTATATTAATATTTCGAGTACAATAAAAAATAATCTGTCAATGACTATCACTAAAGGAATTTCATATTCATCTATTCTTGTATGTAAACTTCTTTCAATTTTACTTTTAATTTTATTTTAACATAATAATACATTTCAAATAATAGTATAATATTGTATAGACAGATAATGAGGTCATATAAATAATGCGTTGATAAAGTTTATTTAATTGTTCATAGATCGGTGAAACGAGAGGACGATTTAATTGGTTCTGTCACACTGTCAGTCACATCCATGTTATCCAAGGAAGTACATAGCACATGCGACAAATCAAGATCTTCGGTAATGGAAACCTCGGATTGTTCCAAGAATCTTGAAGCCTTTGAGCCCAATGATGATGAAAGTATCGAGCCAATGTCTGAGGCACTCAACAGGATCATTGAATTAAAAGGATCCGACAATATCGAGGAAATGGAATCCGTTATATATCCAATGCACAAGTATGTTTATCAATAAATTTATGAAAGAATTAAAGTAAGAAATCCATAGAAACTTGAAATTAAAAAATTTTGTATACTAGACGGATGGCACTTTTGCCATTATTCTAAATTGAATTATATTTGATTTTTAATTTATTATGATATTAAATCAATAGCTAAACAAACGAATTAATTATAAAAATTAATAAATAACAAATAACCTTATAATACTTATTGTTAAACTTATTCTTACATTTCGTGCAAATACTCATGAAAGTAACAATAATGAAATATTATGTTATCATATTTTTTAATATAAATCAAGTTATATAAAAAATTATATTAATCACATTTTATTTTTATTATAATAACAAATTTTAGATTTATCGGTATGTATTAAAATTAATGTTATAATGTTATAAAATTTGTAATACGATGAAATTAATAAATATATTTATAAAAGCACTTAAGTCATAAAAAGTCATAAAAACTATGTAGGAATTAAATATTTATATTTTTATAGGCAAAAGTCGATTTATACCGCCAAAAACAATATGGATTGGTTTACCATGGGATCCAAAGTTACCCAGTCGAGTGACTCATCTTCGTACATCAATGCAAAAGGGGATGGACCACGCCATAACATTAATAATACGAACGATTCTAATAGTCAAACATATCAAATAAATGCCACCTCGGATAATCTTAAATCGGCCTTTACAAAATATAGTTCTAACAACGACAAATCAGTTAATGAACTTGATATGAGATATGTAACATTAAGGTCAATTGACGAAACATATTTATTAAATCCTGTGGTGTCTAGTTCAGAAGAAAATTCACCAGGATTGCAGCAATTTAAAACTGATTCAAAACCGCAAGTCATGGATTACCATACCCCTGTTCATAATCAAAATCAAAAAATTACACCGCATAGGAAACTGTCGGTCTGTTATCCGACTTTTGGTATCGATAGTTTGCAAATACCGGATAGCGCGCATAATGCAAGTGGTGAGATAAGACATTCGTTCGCTACGTCGAATACCGAAGGAAGTGAATACACCGACTCTAGTATAAAGCTATCCATACCTCTTGAATCGAGCGCTACAAGGGATCAATTGATGAATTCGTATCGATGCCCGAACAACAATGATTCATCTAGTAGCTCATATTCAAAAACGGATGAGTCTCCTGTATCGGAGCCCATGGATGATTCGATCAATGAAGCCACGAAAATGATCAAGAAAGTAAATCTCGCCCCGTCAAAATTACAATTTTCCGATTCAATTTCCAACCAAACGCTCCCAGTAAACGGAGAAACGAAAAATTGGAAAACAAATACAATTTCACAGAGGAATTCTGAATTTGAAACGTTTTCTGAAAATATTGCAGCGCAACAGTCAAGAATCTTGAGCTCGTCTTCAAACTTGATGAAAGCAAACGAACAGAGAGACAAATATAATATTACGTTAGACTCACGAAATATTGGTGGCAGTGCGTCATTCTCTGAATTTACTAATGATCTAACTAATCAATGTCTTAGTAGTAATAATTCAGTTGGTTATCAAAACAATGCATATAATGTGTTTTTATCTAATGCAGACAAAAATGATCAGACATATACAAAAAAAGGTAAGAATTGCATCCACTTATCAGTTTATTAGTTATTAAGGAGTTCGATTGTGCGAATCATAAAAATCTTTAAAAATGACGTTGAATAAAAAACCACGCTTGTTTAATTTCACTTGTACTTTTCAAAATTTATAAATAATTTTACAGTACTTTTTACGAAATTTTTCAAAAATTCGATAAAATTGAAATTATAAGATGGAAGATTAATATTTAACAAACACAGTGAAACGATCGAATCTATTATATTTCAAGTTAATTTTTATTACTTTTTGATGAAGTTAATGAGAGACGAGATAATAAATTCAATTCTAGTTGTATTTCACTTAATATTCGACAACAAAATAATACTTTATATAGTGTTCAATTTTATATTATCTTGGAACAATTTAGTGATGATAGCTTTAACATTTAATAAGCTTTATATTTACTTTGGATATTTCGTCATCAATATTTCTTGCAAATAGAGTAATTAAATCATCCATTGAAAGCTTAGCTAAATGATATTAGGAGAACAATAATTCATTACATTACAAAATTATTCTCTGAAGTTTAGATTCGGCCGAATTATCCTAAATTTTAATAATATTTTATTAATTATCGACTGACCTAGTCTCTTAAATCAATTGATAAATATTGTTTCTTGATCCGTGGAGTACCTTGTGATTTTCGAAGAATTACAAAGACTCTATCAATTCTATTATTTTGGCAAAATATTTGTAAATTTTATATATACCACTTTATATTTACTATTTTCCAATTGTAGTTGCACGTGCACTTTAAACAATTTTATATATTCTAATGTTTATATGAAAAAATTTGTTTATATTATTTTATAATATTGTATATTTTATACAACTTATATATATATATATATATATATATTATACAAATATGTATAAATATGAGAATTTTTCTACAGGCAATAGATTAAGTAAGAAAAGGATGTAATAGGATTATAATTGCATAATTTGTTTTAAATTAAATTTTGTTATTAAATCCTTAAGAATTTCTTGAAACGTAGCTTCTATGATTTTAATTTCGCAAAGATTATTTAAACGCGATTATCCTCGTTGTTTATCGAATCGATCAATTGATGTCCTTCAACCAAATGGTTCGCAACATTTATGCGCCGAATTTTTCAGCTCGATAATATCACGTGGATAAAATTACGGGATCGACTAGACCATAAAGTGCTTGCCCACACATCTCTTACGCAGCATCTTTCACACCTGACCGGCAGCGATACAATCGATCGAACCCGGCCAATTCGACGGTGGGGTTCGCTGAGCAAAAGCCATTATTAAACCGACGCGGTTTAACATTTCCCCCTTGATTCGATATCGCCGTCGTCATTGTCGGCGGCGAGAGCGTTACAACCTCTCGTACAAGACGGCACGAAGAAATCACTTTTTAATGAGATACCCTTTGACGATAAACCGCGTGTTATTGCCGTAACCGGCGACTCTCCCGGTCCGCTCGGGTCGGCGATACTCGAGGCGCAGTGCGATTATCACTGAGGGAGCTCCTGGCGATGGCACGGAGCTCCCGACGGCGAGTCGTCCATTTGTCCGCGGAGGCACGAGCGATCGGCAAGCGGCGAGTAATAATCCAGACCTCGACATTTCGCGCAGGCGTGAGCACCGAGGGGAGGAGGCAGCGCGCCGCTATCGTTGCATCGACGACGACCGCCGCCTCGGGCGCCGCCGTTGCCGCAGCCGCAGCCGCTGTCGGCGTAGGGGCCAGTACCCGCAGCTGCAGCGGCGAGGAGTCGACGACGACAGTCGGGCGCGCGATGTCCAGCGGCGAGGAGGAGGAGAGCTCTGCAGAGAGCGAGTGCGAGGCGCCCCGACCGACGTCGGATAACACGGAGGCCGAGGAGCCGGCGCTAGAGGACAAGGTCGAGGTGAGTTATATCGAGGCTTTCACCGCATTAATTAATTGGCTCACGATTATCCCGCTCGTGAGGATAATCTGGAGTGTCGAGAGTGTGGGAGAAAGGGGGGTGAGAGGGTGAGAGAGAGAGAGAGAGAGAGAGGGAGAGAGAGAAAGCGGATTGTTGACGCGAGGTCTTTTGGGCCTTTCAGCCTTTTTGATGCCCAGCTTCTTTTTAATTGTTTAAATTTATGATAAGAATTTTACGTGTATATCGATTTCTATGCTAAATTATTTTACAACTTCTCCGGATGTAAGATCTTTGAATGCAACGATAGTTGGTGTGTTGACACATTCCTCTAGGTCATGTGGAAAATACATGTTATGCCTCCAGTATACAGAGTACCGTATTTAAATTTCAACATTCCCATAAGTTATTTTCTCACACTGCACTAGTGTAAGCCTATAATTTTGATAAATATTAATTAACATTTTATGATAATTTTTATAAAAATTTCATGCTTTTAATTCGGAGGATTCGAGCGATTATAAAATGTGAAAGATACATGCGGAAATATACGACTCTGTCAAACAAAATGAGTTACTAGTAAAATCTCGGAAAGACAATGCTCGATTGTACATAAGTTTTATTTGGCAACGACAGGTTTTCTTTTAGAATGGAGGACAATTGAGAAATGCATTATATCGGTAGGGGCTTTCATTTTCTTATTATAAGAATTATTCAGTAATTATAACTGCGAATGAGGCATCTTCTTGATGCATTTTTATTGAAATAAACTTTGCACTTATTAACACATATAAAGAGCGCTTCGTTGTGAAAAAATTATTATATGAAATAACAAATACGATCGATAAGTTAGCAGAAATATCAAAGCACTTATATTAGATAATGATAAACAATTGTAACTAAAAATAATCTCGGCAAAATTTTATTCATTTACATATTAGTTTAGATATTATTATTATTATTATTATTATTATTTTTAATCTTTCTTACACCACGATTAAGGTCGTTTATAAAACTTTAACCTCAATTTGAGCTTAAAAGCACAGACAGCACAGAAAGTAAAGAAAATACCATACATCATATTAATATTATTTGTTGTTTTAAGTTTAAAAAATTTATATATTTTCAATAAAATCCTACAGATTGGATAAATTGAAAATTTTGAGAAAATATTTTTATGACATATTTCATTATCTAATTAGATTTTTATGACAATAATTAGCTGCAGTTTGGTCTACTGTATAATTACTTTTTTTTTTTATCTATTGCAAATGCTTATATCGAAAGAAAACAGCTATTAATGATAAGTAACGATTGAATATAAGTCAATTAATGCAAAAAAGCTATCTATAAATATTATTTGCTATCATCTTATAAATTCAAATTAGTTTTTTTTTTTTTTTTTTTTTTTTTTTTTTTTGATTTTTTTTAATCAATCGAAACTTTTCTTGGTAGTTTTACTTTTAAAATTTAAGAAGTTCACAGCCGCATTTTTATTAATTTAAATTCTTAAAATTGCCAATATACGTATCGTGCTTTTAATTAATACAAATTTTTATTGTACAAGTATTGACAGGCACAAAGCACACACACGAATAATTTTTCACATGAAACATATGACACTATATATAACATACTCATTAAATATATACAAAATTATACATTCTTAATTTAAAGTTAATTGCATTTAAACGAATTTGATAATAAATAATTGTGTAAATTCAAATAGAAGCTCGCGCTTAAATGTATTAAGCGCTCTTATATTATTATAAGTTGAATTAAAATATTATTTGTTTATAAATTTGTTTGAAAATTTATGCATTGTTAACAATTTGAGTGAGATAAAAGATAATATTTTAAACGATCAAGTTTACAACATTTAAAAAAAATAAGAATCAATAATATAATATTAATTATTTGATGCAAAAAATTGGTAACAGCATTTGTTTCTAATATATTTGAAAGTAACACGATAAATGTAGATTGATTCACAATACAGAATAGGCGATAAGAATTAAATCATGCGAGTGACAATAAAATACACGTTCGCCGAGCACGTGCATCTTATCACAAACACAGATTTTAGAAAGAAAATAAAAATAAATATTTTGAACGTTAATACATAAACGTCCGAAATCTTATATAATGATGAACATTTATCGCCTTATAAGAACACACTCAATAAACAACCTTTCGTATAAAAATTAATTGTCAATATCTAAATATATAGAATGACATATTATATCTGAATAATGCAAAGTTTAATGTAGATCTAAAAAGCTCATATCCGCTCATTCATTTTCTAATTGTGCACTTAAATAAATATTTCGAACTTCATACATAATTAGGGATAAAAATTCTTTAAAATTATGCATACAAGTTATGCATATTTTTTGTAATGATATTTGCTCCTAGAATTTTAATAAATTTTAATATAAAATTAATGCTTATTTATTATTATATATAAATTATTAAATATAAGATTAAAAAGAAATAATGATCGAATAGTGAAACATTTGAAAAACAAATATCGTTAATTGTGAGATTTTAATTGTTTTTATGAGGATTTTTTTATTCGTTCATAATTATTTAATAAATAAATAAATAATAATAATAATTGACAGACAAATAGTAAACACTTACTGATTAAATTGGGTAGAGACAATAGTTTTATCATACCTACATAATTGCTGTATTTATAATATAATGCAGTAGTTAGTAAACTATTAAATACTAAATGCCGTGTAAAAATATTACATATGTATCGTCGATATATGAATGTTTGTCCATAAAAACAATTTTTAACCTTCAAAAAAAAAAACCCGGCGTTTAATCTATTCAAATTTTTATCTTCATAAAAAGAATCATTGTTAGTTAAAATTTACTCTGAGCTTTATTTTAATTGATAAACAAATATTTATTTAAAACAAAAAAAAAAACAAAAAAACAAAACAAAACAAAAAAAGTAGAAAATATATTTACCACCAATTTTTTTAAGTGAAAAATATTAACAATTAATCTATATCATAAATTACAAAATAGACGTATAATTATTTAATATTAATTCGATAAAAGTTTTTAATTACAATTATCATTGATCTATAACGATTCGTCGTTAATTATATAGTATATTTCTATCTAATTTAGAATTAACCTGTTGCTTCGACTGTACAATTTTGAAAATATCTATGCATGAATACATATTAAATTTCAGATGTGCAAAATACTATTTTAATTTTTATAATAATCATATTTATAGACAATCCATTAATGATGATGCCCAATAGAAATAGTATTCAAAAGATTTTATTTTAAGTAAAATTGATGATACAATTAAACTATCGTTGCTAATTGATTCTATTTAATACTATTTGTACGATCGGTGCAATAGATCTCGTCGTAAATGCAATAGATCGTATTATGTTATCGTTATATCTGTGAGTTATAAGACAATAATTTATTGACGCAATTTTGCATTGATGCTATTTTGGAAAATTCCAAAGTCTCTAATAAAATTCAAAATTCCTCAGCGTCAAATAAAAATACGATTTATCCGATTAAAATCCTCTTCCGTATTGCGCATGAAAACCATAAAATAGCAAATGAAATCTATAAAAAATGTATAAATATAACAGTCCGTTAAAATTCGCGTCCTACGTCTCGTCAAGAAAATGTAATGTAGTCAAAACAAAAGCTGGGGCGGAAAATTATCGTCCGAGACTGCGAGATAGGCAAATAACAGTCGTTAGTACAAGATCGCGAAATCATAAGCTGTCAGACGGGGAACAATCAATCCAACGAGTACCACTTCAATTAATCACTAATTATGACAGAATATTTTACGTATGTCCATCCGACGAGCGACTACTGCGGATTGCGTCGCGCACGTATTGCATGGAAATGCCCGGCGATCGATCTTGAAACAATTGCTACTGATCAGTTGTCATTAAGAGAGACCATCGCTTCATTAAGCGATTAGCAAATCATTTATTCATACTTCACTTGGTGCTTGTGCTTTCTGTTTGAAGATGCATGAATATAAAACGTCGAGACAATTATAACGCAACTAACTAACTGTCATGACCTTCGAGTCGATACAGTTCTTAACGATTCTTCCCAGCAAAATCTTGCTTTTGCCATTAATAAGCATCCCAATGCACTCCAATATCGTTCCAAAAAATTCTAACCTCTAAAATTTAAAAATTAGTATAAATAGCCGAAGAATTCCCACATTCTGTGAATATTAATTATATTACATTTTGTAAATATGTAAATATGAATCATACCCGCAAAAAGTCTAATGTAGACAAAAATTAAATTGTCTTTCTATAATAATACCAATATAAAGCACTTATAATGCACTCTGAATAATTATTTTAATTGATAAAAGAGTTGCCTTAATACACCACCTGTAAGAGTTCGCGTATCTTGCATATCAGTGAGACAAATACAATTACTCAAAAATTTTTTATTTTTTCAATATACAACCTTACTTTTTTTTCACTTCAATATCTTAATTTTAACGAATAAATAAAAATATAATTAAAAATATCTATCTATAAATATGTAAGAAAATTTACTGTAATGTTTACCTCTATTATTATTAATTATTAACTCTATTATTAGGATAGTAATGTGTATTTTCTATAATTCATAGTATATATAATGACAATTCATCTAAAATAATTAATATTTGGATCAACATTGCATGAAATTACATAAAATTTATAATTTACACCATGTTGTAATATTTCTTATATAAGTGGATTTTTGTTATATTCGACAATAGTGATTATAGGGCAAATGTCAACTATATTTAAAAAATTGTTTTGTTATTTTTTAATAAAATAAAAATGAGAACATCTAATTAAAATATATTCTATTATTTATATATTTGTGGTTTATGTAATGGGCATTAGTCATTAACTATAAAAAAAAAATAAAAAAAAATTGATAAAAAACAAAACGATATGACAAATTTGTATTATACAGTGTACTAACAC